TATATATTGAATCACTAAATTACTTTTCTCCTGATCTCTTAGTAATTTTATTTGTTTTGGGGATAGTAATGAGTCTTAGCCAGGTTAGGCTGAATATCAGTATTTTACGTAGAGCAACTGTCATATGCCATTCAGAACCTACGAATTACTGGATCATAATATTGTAATGAATCGGTTCTATATATTTTCTATATGATAAAAGTGCTAATATACGCACATTCTGAATGTTTTTTTTTGTTGCATTCTGATTTTTGCAAATATATAACACTGTTAATATTCAAGCTAGATTAAGTTACATTTAACAAAAATGTATATGATTCATTAAACACAAGGCCGGACTGTAGATAATTAAACCTATACAATATTAGGAAATGGACATTACCAACGGTACCTACACAGAACGTCATTAAAGGTTTCGTGGAAGCACTTTGACTTATAGTATAACAAACACAGGCAATGCAATTCTACGCTTCCCCGAAAATGAGAGATGAGATGCATCCCTCTCGCTCGTATTTCAACAGTTAGGTACATTGCTAAATTCATCATAATTTTGGGTATACTTATTCCCGAAACAATCGAATAATATGCTTCTATAATTTATGCTAATTGTAAAACGTTTGCCTGCCTATGCCTGCAGCGAATATTAACTTATTTTGGCCTGACAGTAGATAAGAAGCTTGTGGTTGTTGGTAGGGTTACGGGAAAAGACCTCGTGGTCGCTCACCTACCCGGTGGTTGGATGCTGTAAAAAACCTAACCGGCCTGACAGTTCCACAAGCCATAAAGACCGCAGAGGACAGGGGCGTTTGGAGGAGGGTTGTGCATCAAGTGACGCGTGCACCAGACTAGACACGACCTTCAGTAATGAAGAAGACGACTAGGAAGAGAAGTAAAACGTTTAAAAATTTAAAAACGATATTAATGTTTACATATTTTCTGATATAAAATATTTTTGTTTTATACAATTTGTGTATACAAAAATATTAAGAAAATATAAACAGCTGTAATTTAATACACAATAACCGTATTTCTTACGTGGTATTGAATAATGACTGTAATGATAAAACGGATGATGTTTTTTGGACTTGCGTCAGCGCACGTGAGTCTCGTGTGAATGAGATCCAAGTTGTATTTCATCCTATTCACTCATATTAGTGTAATTTTAGCAACTAGGAATGCTAGGATTCAAAATAGGTGTTATATATGAGATTATAATAGTCAGTTTAGTCAGTCAGAGTTGTTGTCTATTGTTGTTTTTTCTAGCTAGCCTCACCTAGCCTAGCCTAGCTTCACTGACTGACAGAGACGTATGGACAGTTCAATTTATGACGTTTCAAAAATGCCTAATTAAGGATTAATTGAAATTAATGCTTTGACTTCGTCTTTTGACTTTGACTTTTGATGACTTACTTTAGAATATGTCTTTGAAAGTTAATATAAGTATATTAATGATAGTAATTTTTTTGACAGTATTATGCAATTCAATTATATATACAATTAATATTAACTATAACTAAATGAAAATATATACAACTTAAAATATAAATAACTATGAACTAAAATATTTACACCTTAAAAAAAAATTATTAATGATAGTGTTATATTGAATTGTATCTATAAGACATATAATTATTAGTATTAAAGTACACAGTAATGTACTACAATTTTACATCACCATATCAGTAGTGATTTAATACTTTACGTTTATATGTAATAATAACTATACTTCCTATATGTCACACATTGTGCCCCAAAAAACCTAACGGGATAATAATATAATCTGACGCAATCAGTAGCCAATATGTATAGAATTAAATTCGCCAAGTCATTTAATTTATTCCTGTTGGCTAACTGGCAATAACGCTTTCACATTAATCAGGTCTTTATTTACATATCAATAAAGACGTATTTTGAAGTTCAAGCGTAAATGGCAGTATTAAATAACAACCAGATAGGACAATATTAATTGAACTCGATTAGTTTTAGAAGTATGTACAAAAAAGGGTCAATTTATACTGGTGGTTTAAAAACTCGATTGTTGCTCATGTTTTTATATCGTGGTGTAATTTTTGTTCTGTACCTCTATTTAGTTAACGTATGAGTCATTATGAGAGTATTTGATGGTTCAACGAATTTAGTATTAGCACGAATTTGGTTGCAATAACGGGTAACCTTTATGATCAACTGTCTATGTTGCCAATGGATTATAGTATTGACAGCTGATTATAAAGAAAAAGTGTTTATTTATTTAAATTATTGCTGATAATACAATATTGGTGATTAGTTATAGTACCTACGTAAAAAATATGGACACTACAATAGAAATCCTCAACAGACGCTTTTCATTTTACTAAATAAATTACCATCAATCTAAAAACACAATACACCAAAATATTTGGCAATTTTGCATTATATTACATTGACAAAATAAAACATTAGATTATCAATAAAATTCCAGTTTTCAACAAAACACTGAACCTCGGAGAACCTAACGGGTAACCGGGGCTCCGGCTCGACGTGCAGGAGAAGGAACGGGGTGGTTTTTAGTCAATAAGAGTCTGACACTCCCTCCCGCCTCACCCAGGCGGGAGCAGTCATTTGATGATTTGTCCCTCCTAAAAAAAAAGTGTCACAGCTAGAATTCTGTACCACTACACATCGATGTATACAAAACCGATATAAACTGACCATCGAATATGTGGAAAGGTCATTCAAAGTGAGATCATGCTTTACTGGTTTGTATATGTGTGTGCCGGACATTCCTATTTGTCGCGTAACTAATTATATGCCAGATAATCTCAATAAGAGAATTGAACCGTCAGACCATGGTTCCTAAAGCCAGGTCCAACTATTGTGCCTGGACACTTAATGATTAAAAATATTAAGTACGTCCTGTATTTCTATTGTGTTTTTACGATTTTTAAAAATAGTTTTTTTGCAATAAATTTTTTCATACTTTTTATATATATAAATATAATTAGAGCCAGTTGAGTCACTTTATGTAAGCAAATCAAAGACATATTTAAAATCTTTTTTTACTATAAATCTCCACATTTAACAACCAATTATATCTATTATGATTAATGAAGTAGTATAGGTACTTATTTTATTGTTATCATCATATTTAGAAGTTTATAATAAGTCGTCATTAATATTATATTATACATAAAATTATATTTACAAGTATTCAAGACTCGGAAAATTACATTAGTAATTTTGCAAAACATTCACGATAGCTTTGGTATATTTCCGCGAGATGTCATTATTTTTTTACCAGACTGTAATAACTAATTATTCAACTTTTTACCGGACTACCTCTATAATAAGTATATAGGTACTTTAGAATAGAATAATACTATATTACTTAAAACAAATTTTATTACATAAATTCCACATTGATTAGCTATACAAGTATGTATAGGTAGTAGTGTACGAAATTGTTTACTTATTAAATAATTGCTTATCATATATGTATACTCTACGTTGATATAGATAATTATTAATTACAATATTATTAATACTCTCATAGATTATAAACTACATAGGCTAATTTAATAGCACGTCTATAAAATAATGATAGTAAGTGAAACGTCAATAAGCGCCTGCCCAGGCCTCATAGGTTAAATATCCAGGACCATGCCGTTAAAAAAATCGGGCTATGATTGCTTGGATATAAATAAATCGAAAACTGAAATAGTTTGAAAAAATTTAAAGAACTTATTCTTATTTTTGGAACACGAATCATTACACGATTTTTATCATTTTGAATGCATTTCATGTTATTTTTATTTTCTTATTATTTTTAAATTATTTAAAAATCAACTTTTCATTTATAAAAGCAAATAAATATCGTTTGATATTGAAGTTTTCCATTACGCTGTATAAAAAGACCGATATATGTAGGAAATGCATTTTATTATATTATAACTTTATCTACCTGTACCGACATTATATTAAACGCAAACCTTATAGGATTTAAAATTTGTAGTCAAGGCAGCAATCTAGATAATGGCACTTGGCTTAGCCAGATAATTCTTTCTGTCAGCTCAAAGAGGATTACAATTGATACCTAATATTATTAAGTCAGTTTTCCCCGAAGGGCAAGGCAGAGAACATAAAACCACTTTTAACCAGTTTTCTTTCTCCATATCGCAGATAAAAATTCAAAAATCGAACTTTGAACACTATAATCATTATAATCTAACTTAATTGTGACCATAAAATGAAAGTAGATATGTCATATATTAAAACCTTTTTACAAATAAAAAAAAACTTCGAAGAAAAGGAAATCTTCCGTATAAGTATATGTATACTGTGCTTTACATTGAACCTTGCCACAGGTTGAAAAACTAATCAATCGAGATTAAACTCTATGTGCTTCTCGTAATGTTGGTTTTAGAATAATATAGGTTAATCACGATGAACGATATGCGTATGTTTTGTGACGTTTCCACTACTAAATTGTTCAGTTAGCGCCAATCTTCTGGTGCGAATATTTCGTGATAAACGTTCTAGTTTCGTCATCGTAGTTATAATTAACTTAACAAAGAAAATTATTTTCAACTAAATCTGGTATTTTATGGGAAATATGAGAATTATTTTATTTTTTACGCTTTTCAGTATAACCTCTAAATAATTATGTATTTACAATGTTTTGTAACTTAGTATAATTTCACCATATGGTCGCCGTCTTGTCGATGTATTATAATACAGTTTTATTTGCCATTTTCAGTATTGTAGGAAATATTTTTATGTCTTATCTTAGTAGATTAAAATTGTATTGAGTAACATAAGGTGGATTTGTCATATTGTGTATGTGTAAAATATTGTTATCGCAACAAAAATAATCTGGTTGTTTATTATTTTGCAATCCAAAAAAAAGGAAAACACGAAAAATCCCAAAAAAAGAAAATAAACGTATACCTTTTTTCTTTTTACAGAAAAAGGTTGATAAATAAAAACAAAACCATAAACATAAAATAAAAAAAAACAATCCTTACCGAATCTCACAGTTGTTTCTAAATTCAAAAATTTTATCACGTGTAACAATGGTCCGCTCGACTCGTTTGTAACTGTCACTGAGTCATCAGCTGTTTTCTCTGTACAGTGATACGACCGTTCACTCTGCTTGCACTTACATCAATGAACATTGACATCACACTACATTAAGGCAAGCGAACGCGATAATACCGAGCTACCTTTAGTCATTTTATCAAAGACTGTTGCTAAGTTAAGCCCGTTCCGGCCAGTATTGAAGAACTTCGCGTGTAAACAACATGCGTTCTTGTATGGTAAATAGAAAATTATTTACTGTACAGCCTACTGATTATGATTTTTTTTTATATTTATATCACTTTAATTTATCTACAAAAGTTTTTGCTGATGTATTTTTAAGGGAACTTTTAATATCGTCTACGGAAATCTACATTCTATTTTAAAACAAATAAATTATAAAATACAGTGGCTTATTTCGCGTTTTTGCTTGTGATTCTCAGATTACTTTTTGCTCATTGCCCGCGTAGTGCTATAAATTGCAAAGTAATTTTGGGAAAAAAAAATTGCCGATCGTAATTTCGTGGACCTGTTTTTTGGACAAAAGTGCCGCTTGTCCAGCTTGTTTATGCCAGTTTTTTGATTCGGTTGTCAGGTAATATCGTGAATGTGTATTCTCTATAGTATTCATGACAGTATGTATACAGGATTGGCAGATGAATAGGGTTCGTTGAACATTGTTTCACATATACTCGTCAGTTTGTTATATGGTGTGTGTAACGTCGACGTCATAATTAATTAGACTTTGGAATTATGCACATGCAGTTGTTTTTAGTTGATTATGTTTTTTAGTATTGTGTTGTTAGCAATTTGTATGTCTTTCTCGAAAATTAAAGTGTTATAACTCACAAGAGATTATTTTCTATAAGTGAATTAATCGAAATATAGTGTACCTACTTATTTATTTTGATGGATAAGTAATTTGACTATTAACTGATTGAATGGTGGTATATAAGACACAATAGAAAACACATTATATCTCGCATGGATTCTCGTTAAGGCGCACAACAGTTAAAAATAAAATACCTTAGCCTTCAACACTTATAAAACTCCCAACCACACATTATTAGTAAATATTTGATAAGAAAATCTACATAATAATTATGCATTAAATATTATTTTGTTTTATTACATAAGACGAATACTATTCAGCAATTGATAGTATCCAAGTTGTTTACGGCAAGCAAGCGTAATTATGAAATATTATGTAGTTTCAAACATTATCGATAGTTATCATGTTTATATGACCCGACAATGGCCAATGTTTAACATTTACACATGTTTGTTACGTCTACTTTCATTGATAGCGAAAGTGAAGTTAGAAAATGATAATTACATTATTGTGTTTGCAATTATGACGTCGATTATTTTTTATTAGATATAGGTTTTCTTTATTTATTCAAGACTATTAGGATAGGTACATTAATATCTTATTTATATTTGCTAAATAAAATCTATTAAAACTACCTAGATCATTCTACCTCTAAAATGTAACTATAATTGGGATGATGACAGGGTATAAAAATTTAAAATGTACATAGTCCGTAAGTTAGGTAATGAAAAAATACATTATTAGACATCATTTTTTTGTATTTTGTCGTATAATAAAACAATACTTAGATAAAACGAATCAAAGTTTAGGATTAGGGGCTAAAACGTCATTTCTACGTATAAAATGTACATAGAAGTGACGTCACGCGACATTTGAAATCAATATATCTACGAAAGTATTTGTTTCTGTAAGAAATAAAAAATGCGTGTCTAATAATTTTAAATAACAGACGGACATTAAATTAAACTTTAGGCACCTACCCTATTGAAAAGTGAAATTATTTTGAGATAAAAAATACGATATAAGTACAAAGAATATTTTAACGCAGTTTTTGATACATTAGTTGGTTTCGAATTTCAAAATTAAAAAAGAACAAAAGAAAAATAAATGAATGCAGTATTATTTGCACACACAAGTTAGCGTCGGGACAATAGGGTAATATCGAGTGTTACCTACTTGTGATTCTGTTCTTGTCGTAAGGGTCAACCGGGAGAAATGGGCCAGGATACTCGCGAGCCCGACTTAAATTACATATCAAACAGTTTATCACCTTGCATTGGGAATTGCTATTTTTATCCTGGTTACAAATGCGATCAACTATCGAATTGATAGTTTCAACTTCAGTTCCTTAGGTAGACTAAGAAGATTGGAAAATATGGCTTATTATGGGAACCGTCATAAGTCGAAATAAGGCAATATAGTCACCCTTATTAATATGGCTCTGAACTTCTCCCGGCTCTAAAATGCTATGTGTGTGAGGTACACATTATACAACCTTTTCTAGTATGACTCTTCGAAAGTAAAGATGAAACTAAGAAGTGACCAAGACTTTTTATTAAATATTGTATTCTGAATTTCTGACATTCAGACATAATGTATTGTATTTTGATTGCCTCGTTGGCCAAGTTGTCGCAAGTATGATTACCGGGTAAGGGTTTCGGGTTGGATTCCCGAGTCGGGCAAAGTATTACTGGGTCTATAAAATAAAATCTCAGTATTAGCCCGGAGTACGGAATTGAACCCGGTATTATAGACTCACCCCTATTACATGGATTCATAACATAGATAGTGAAAAGTGGATGTAACATTGTGCAGTGACATTAAGTGCTGTAATGTGCACCTCTGCCTACCCCTTCAGGGATAAAAGTCGAGATGTTATGTTATGCATTCTGACATTAAGTTTAAATTACTTTACACTTCAAAATACCAGAACAAACCCTCAGTCACGAAGTCACAAAAGAATTGTAAACAGGTACCAATGTATAAAGGATTTCAGGAGAGTAACCTAAGAAATCCTGCAAGTATACGGTTTGACAACAAAATAAAACTAAGTTTAAGCTTTACGTGTACACTACAAGGTACTAGGACGTACAGACAAACTTTGTGATCATGGCTGGTGGTCACGAACGACATGAAAAATAGGTAAAAGTTTATTACAGAGAAATAAAATGTAAGGAATGGTTTTCAAATGAATAGCCAAACATTATGCTTTAGCCGCGGAAGGCCTAGCGGGTTGCCGGGGCTCCGGCTTGGAGAGCAGGAATAGGAACGGCGTGATTTCTAGTCAGTAAGAGTCTGACACAAGGAGAAGACATTGGGTGATTTTCTTCCTTCCAAAAAAAAGCATTATATGTGCTTTATTGTAATATGTATAATAAACTGGAAACAGTCCTGAAAACCACTTACCGATAATACCTATGTTCTCACCGACACTAATATTTTAATCAATATCTACTTAGGTAATGTTTCGACTTACGGGCAAGAAACTTAATCAAGATTCTGGATATGGAAGATACATAGTATGGGTTAAGATATTCAATATATGAGTTTGTTTTATTGTACAAGCGCACGCTTATTAACCTTATGACCAATGAAGATATTAACCTTATCAGTTGGACTTATACGATACTGAGAAAAATGTAAGTAGAAATAATGACACACCTTTACGCAGGACTTGACTCCTCACTACATAGTATAAAACAAAGTCGCTATCCGCCGTTTGTCTGTTCCTATGTATGCTTAGATCTTTAAAACTACGCAACGGATTTTGATGCGGAATTTTTTAATAGATGGAGTGATTCTTAAGGAAGATTTATATACCCGTGCGAAGCCGGGCCGGGTCGCTAGTAACTAATACATCAATTACAATTTAAAACCTGATTAACTTAACGTTACTTCAGCTTTTGGCAACTGTTACTTAATATTACTTTTGAACGAATTAAGAGAAGATGTTTAATTACTTTATTATATTTTTATACAACGACAATGAAAACCAAGTTCAAAGATTCACTTTCACAATAATTGCATATGTGAATCAAAAGTTTCATAATAAGTGCGTACATTTGTTTCAGATAATATGAATTCACTTGATTATCTGAGAGATAGCGACCTTCTACGTATATGTAGGTAGTACCTATATACGTAACAATATGACTCAGATTCACAGTACATTATTCATTTTGAGTACACAGAATGCCGTGTGACGTGATGCTGAACAGAAGTATGAAGATCAAGGTTAATTTTACTTATTATAGGTAATTAGAATAGGAAACTCATTCATACAAGTATATGAAGAATGATATTTATAAACGAAATAATGTGATGTGAGATTTCGACGTTGTGATTATGGAAGAGTAGAATATAATTTTTACTAGCTTTTGTTAGCGGCTTCGCCCGGATACGTATCCGTAGGTTAAAAAGTTGGTCTCTGTGTTATTCCAAACCATAATCCAAATTTTATATCGAATTCTTCAGCAGTTTTCACGTGAAGGAGTAACAAACAAAAAAAAACTGCTCTTAAAAAACCGACTTCAAAAACTAAATAACAAACGAAAAGTAAATTTTATTCCATAAAATCGTTTATAAATATATATTACAAAATAAATAAAGAAAATATGCATCGTATATTGTCACCGTCAAAAAAATAACATAGATAATGTAGCACTATTTTCACATCTTTGAACTAAATTAACTCGGTTTGGACTGAGTTTTTGATATAAGACCCCATATATATTTTTTTGTTTGTAATATTATTCTGCATCAGTTTTTCCACATCCTATAACTACCGCGCAAAAATTAAAAGGTAAACTCTCCATACAAATTTGGTCATTGTCATTTAAGGAAATTATATTTTATTTTATAATTTAATGTTAAAATGAACATTACACACAAAATTAAACATGTTTATTTAGGAATAACAACAAAGTTTTCCCTATAAACTAATGAAATACAAAACCGCGATAACATTTTAATGTAGTTTTAAATAAGAATACAGTATTTACAAAAACTACATCTGTAAAGGGAATTGTATTCCCTATAGGGAATTTACAGTGGATTGCAACACCACGGTCATACTGCAAGCGATGTCATCGACTTACCGAGATATCAACGAACGGGCCGGGCACCAAACGAAGACCGGTCACTAGCGAACTTTCTGGATAAATACTATCGTGTGTGTAAAGTGAAGTTCTGGAAATTTCTAGAAATTGGTATCTATAACAATCTTGAATTCATTCAGGATCTTTTCCAGATTATTGAAGAGGGGATATATTTGATAT